ATATGCAGCGAAATTATAAATGTGTCGATCGCATTGTCTATGTAAAATCGGTAAGCGGATTCAATGTTAAGTAATATCCGATCGATTTCGTTCACACGAGGATAACAGAGAGAATGATTCAGTAACGCGTATGAAACTATGAAAGTGGCGGTTGTGCATTAATTAAAAGAACGGCCATTATGCGTACAATTTGAACACGCAGCCCTTTCGAATGAATAATAATTCGACAGGTTAGTTACGGCGACAGCGGCGTTACATACACATGAAACGAGTTCAGTAAAACAAGCCTGATGTATAGGTTGCGGCATAACAAACTCGATTGCAATATTTTTCCCATGTGAAAAATGCTACACGCCGCCCATGTAAATGATGAAGACGTTCCCGTAACTCTTGCATCGTTGTCAACCAGGCCCTGATGAATGGCGGGCAGATTTAATCGAATGCCTACAACCGTGTTGCAAACGCGAACAACCAGGAAACCGATTGGGACGAGTAACCAAATTTGCTATCTTCGCCCGATCTGTCAGTATGTACCACAGGCGCTAACCTGGCCAGTAACAGTCATATAGCAAAGTCCACAATGTTTTTCGATCAATTGATAAAAATTAATGTAGATAAATCAATAGCGGAATGAATTACTTTAGTGGTGTTGAATTTAAAGTGATACATTTAGGAGAATCTTCCGAACTTACGCAATGAAAATAAATAATAGTTATTAGACATCTAATAAATGTAAGTAAATTAATACCCATTTTGGGTATTAACTTCCTGATTCTTCTTCCTTCTAAACCCTAAACTCCAACAACCAAAGATTAGTGAAGGACTTTCTCAAATTTCTCTACAGAAACTTCAAGAGTGCATCTATCGAGACTAATTGATCCATTATTCAACTTGCGTATTGCAAAGTCAATCTCTAATAACTCTCAGAGAAGCATCTGCTATGTTTTTAATAATCGCAGTAAGAAAGAATCAGGAATGAGTGATTTTGACCCGTTCGGTAGTTCTAGTGTTAATTATTATGGAATTTCATTACAACTTATCAAAAATTCCACCCCTTCATTCAGTATTCACCCCTTTTACACTTTCATCAACGATAACACTTCACACCCAAAAAATTAATTCCAAAACAAAAATTCTCACATAATCCTTCCTTCCAACTTTTTCTTTATCGCCGATTCGAGGCAGCCTCGCGCAATTACACGGGACCGGGGATGTCGCGATAAGGTGGCGGTCGGTCGCGTGCGACAAATGGCGGAGGAGACATAGGGCCCCGGACGGTCCGCGGCCATTCCTCTCCGATAGCTGGCCCGGTATCGACGGGCCCGATTGACCTCTCCCCCGTGTCCGTAAATTACAGTGCATTCCAGTCGCGGCGGCGCGACCTCCAAATGTTCCGTCGCCGGCGGGCATTATTTTCGCGAGTCGATTGCGCGCGGATACGAGCTGTCCATGCGCGACGAAGGATGGCTCCGCGAGAGGAAGACCGTTGGTCTCGGACGCAAAACAAACGGCGTCGCTCCACATGTATACACAATATTTACACTGCGTACCGGCGAGGATCTCCTTATTGTGTAATTCGTATTTGCACGGACCTTATTTTGATCTTTGTTTTTTGAATTTTATTTTGTATATGATTTCGATATTAAACCTTAACCGTTTGACGAAGATTCTCGGAACTATACAAAACCAACATATGAGGCTAAATTATATATCAATTGCTTAATTAATAGAAAACAGGAAAACTACGTGCTGATCTCTTGTTGTACGACTAACTAAATCATATGTCCACGATTTAGTCTTCCAAATCTGAACATTTCATCTCACCGAAATGCCGACATCCGTCCGCAAAGGTTAAATAAGATAACTTGTTGTTTCTTAGTATTTTGTAGGGTTAGATCTGGATTCGACGTTGATTTGATCTGTTTTTTGGTGAGTAAGCGGAAGAAATATAATTTGTTGATATCGGTTGAATTTTATCTCGTCGTTAATGTTTGTAAAATGTTCGAAATTGATGTTTTAGATATTTGAGATATTCTAGATACATGTAGATTATTTGGTTGCTATTGTGTAGGCTTTGAAACATTATTTCAACGTTTCAGTGACATTGCGGTTAACTACTTTAGGGGGTTGAACGACCACCAGCCACAACACAGAAGTTTCTTCATTAATTAATCTATTTATTTCATTAACCCCGTCGTCTAAGTAAGGAACTTGTTGCTTTTTAGAATCATCCAACGCGTCCCTCGCATTCGTTCCCGTTTGTTACCATTAATTCGACTATCATGAACCGACACTCGCGCAGCTGTATTAACCTTCATCCCGCATTCGGGTTAATTCGTTCCAAACCAGGAATTTCGGTTTCACTAAACTTACACTTTTCAAACGAATATACATCAACAACCTAAGAATCACAATTTTACAGAACTCGCAAAAATAGAAACAATCCTTATTCAACAATACACCGCGAGCCCCAATTTACTAATCTACAAATAATTTATCAACTATTCATAAATACTTTCAGCAAACCTGTGAATAAAGCACCACTTAAACCACAAAATCTCGTCCCATTCTCATCTCTAATTATTTTGAGCTATCCATTACACACCGCCCAATAACGTGTACCCTCGGAATCCAAAAATGCAGCGAACAATCAACGGGAACTTTAAAACCCCCCTCGGTCGAATAATCGCGATCGTGCACGACGAATCGTTCATCCCGTGCGCGGCTGCAGCAACGCGGCAACAGATTAACACGTCCCGGTAACTCGCATTTAATTCCGGAACAGTTTCAACCGTGGACGATCACGGGCGTGGGTCATTACGCGGGCAGCAATCCGATCGTTAAAACGGCAACCGCCGGGGCCGTAACAGATCGTGGCAGATCGAAAACCCGCGTCGATCGCGCGCGTGATAGAATTCCTCCATCGTTCGATCTCAACGCTCCGTAGCTAAACAGTCAGAACGGCCGGTTATGCGCGATCAAGATAAATGGCACCTCTACCCGGTCTCTCGCGGGCTTCTCCGCGACTCGCCGCGAATATAGCGAAAGTTATGGCTCTATGAAACGCGTCGTAATCCTTTATTCCCCTTTCTTCATTCTTTTTCTTTATTTCGCTGCTCTTCTCTTTTTCGCGGAACAACTCGTCGACGTTCGTCACTTTGGCCATCGTCGATTATATCCAACGAGATCCGCGTGATGGATCCACTTATCGGTGGAGACCTTCTAGCTGGATATCTCGTCCTTTTGTGGCGCGCGATGTTGGCGGGACTGAAAAGTTTCTCCGATTCTGCATTTTCTACGAGCGTATAGCTCGCTGATGGTTATTGATGAGTATGAGGTGGATTGGGTTTGTAGCGAGGGTGCTGCGAGAATATGTTTCTTGGATTGAGAGGTTTTAGCGAAGAGAATTTTTATACCTCTTTATGTTTGCGGTAGGGACTGAGTGTTTGCTTTGCGATGCGTTGATTGACTTTCTTAAAGTGATACTTTCTTATTAACAATTCGGTAGGAATGATTGTTTTACTACAAATAACTAAAGTCTAGCATTAACGAATACAAAACAGCAATTTCAACAGATGCCCCGGCCATCATGGCATCTCCCAGTCTTACCTCAAAACTGAAAAAAAGACACAGAATCATAAAAAACGAAGGCCAATATTTCAGAAACAGTAAGACGCTCGACCTATTGTCCAACAGAATTATTTCAAAGTTAAAAAAAAGCAATATTTAAGTCCTAAATATTAAAATCTCGAAAGACCCATGCACCAAAAAGGTCCTAGACAGTGGCGGCTCGCGTTTAAGCACTGTGGAACTGCAGCACCCTCAATTTCCACTTGATATTATCGATAAAATTTAATATAATGAGTCCTTTTTTTCTTTAATTCTGTCTTTATACATGTACAATATATAATCCGCAAGCTCAATATCAGTAGCCATCCCCCAGTTTATGATAAAGATACAAACATTTTAACCCTTAAGATCGGGACACTTTTCTGGTGACAGTACCAACTAGTCGAAGCAAATATATATATTCAAAGTTATTTTTCTCTAGGCGGTTTATAATAAATATATGTATATTAAAAATTTGTCTAATTTAATGTGTTTTGTAGAAAGTATATTATTTATAAAAATATAAATTCTGTAAAGAATAATAAATACAGTACTTCTCGATCGTAAAGTAATACTGTACAAAGTATTAAAAATTCTCAGAAAAAAGAACATGCCACATTGGCGACACCCATTTCAAAAACGAATGTTAAGTGTCGCCACTGTGGCGACGATCGTAAAGAGTTAAAACAAAAGTTAAAAATTCTCTGGAGCAACACCCCCACTAATTTCAGCTACGAGCCGCCACTTGTCCCAACAACGTCGAAGAAAGTCCGCCAAACTGATCGTCGGAAATCGAAGCTCCTCTAGCAACCCCTAGCTCCCAGGTCGCACCTTGCGGCGTCGATACCTGTCCCGTCGCTTCAACTCGTCCGCGCGTTGGAACCTCGTAACAAAATCCTCTTTCGACCTGGCTGCCGGGAAGAAAGATCGGGAGCTAGGGGGAAGGAGATCCTTTTCCGAAAACGTCGCTCGAAAGCACCTGTGCCGTGAAATTCCTGTCTGGCGTCCTATGCATGCGTTGCTCGCTCGCTCGCTCGCTCGTTCGGTCGGTCGGTCGAACGGGCCCGCGACGAAGGCAACGACGACGCGGTGGCAGAAGAGAAGGAGGAGGAGGGACCGACATAGTGGGAGTAAATGGTGCCGGCGTGGAAAGAAAGGAAGAGGAATCCGGGAAGGAGAACGGCGGGGAGAGAAAAGGGGATGCTGTCTCGCTCGTTCACAGGGCCATCCATTGACGCCCTCGGCCGGGCATTTATGAATGAACCCCTCTTCCCCCTCGCGGTACAGCTTCGTTGGCCCCCACCACACGGACGACGCGCCGCTCGTTCTTACGCTCGATGCACATGCGCCACGACGTTGCATATGCGTCGCATTCTTGCCGCGGATGAGGAACGGTGTTTCTGTCTTTCTGTATGGCCTTTCGCGATGATCGTCTAAGGCTAGAATGATGATACTGGATTTTTGGATTGGGGATTTGATGGTTGCTGTTATTGTATGAGTCGAAGAGGTATTGATTGATTGTTGGTGTTGTGGAGATCTGGTTTTGGGAATGTTTGAACGTCGGTTGTAGAAATGCTTCTGCTCCTGTATGCTCTTCGATGATGGTATTGGAATGTTAGGTTAGTTTGAGAGTTAGTTTCTTAAATATCAAATGTAGAAGTTAAAGACCCTCTTCAAGATAAATTTACCGTTTGGATTTCTAAAGTGCCCCCCTTAACTCTCTTTTTGATTTAAAAATGGATAATTCCGAAATAGATTATCCGAATTTGAAATAGATCTATAGTTGATTAAACGAAAGAGCAATGGATCAGCCTGCTGCGCTCGATGAACCTACAACTTATATAAAAATATCCTCGCACCGTTTGTTTCAGGTCGCGTCCAGTGTTCAATAAAAAGAATTACGTCCTCGTGAAAAACCGCAATAACTTCCAATTTCCGAAAATCTCGCGGTCGTAATTTGTACGACAGAAATCAGTCTTACGGACGCATCTTTTTGTTCCAGCCCGATCTTACGTAACAGCGAAGTGTCGAGGCGACCAGCGTGCATTTGTCGAAGCTCCCGTTGAAATCTTAATAACGCGTTTCTTTCGCAACTGGGTTCGCGCAAATCGGGGAAAAAATGTGATTGTTGCGGGCCGGATTGTGCGTATCGTTGCCGAAGGTGTTCGACGGCGCGGGCGGCACGGGGATTTCGTTGGGTTTTTGCGACCGTTAACAGGATGCTTTCACCGGTGGCGTAATGGGAATCATTTGGCTCGATTAGCATCAAATTGACCGTGTCTTCGGATCACGGTAATACCGCCGGTCATTCGCAAGTATTGCGTCACGTGTAAAACCACGTCGCCTGATAATGACGAGATGCGACGGTCGATAAAGTAAGAGCAGCGACGATCAACGATGCTCGTTATCGGTGGAGTTGCAGTTTTTCGGGCAACGTGAGGATTCTTTATCACGAAACGATTGTATACGCGGAAAGCCACTGTGAGATTGATCTACACGGATACAATAAGAATATTTTCTCTTTGTTATATAATTACAAGGTTTTTACAAGGAAACATGGCTACCAGGAATTATTATGAGCTGCTTGAATATTAGAAGCTGCTCGAGGAATCTTGTTTCAACGGAAATGAGGTACTTTATGAATAGTAATTCTTCAAAGTTATATAACGATGGAATTCTTCGAATTTTTTTATCGTGTTATATACAGCTAATCGAAAAAGTGTGCGCATAATTGATATTAGACAGAGAACGTCGAATATTGAAATTTATTATCATTAAATTTGTCGAAATCATGGTGGACTACTTCTAGCAAAACGTTGAATTGACTTTCAAAATTTCAAAAGACAGCCTTCCCTCTGTAACGTGGCGTGTTATTAATGATTTGATACAAGAGGAAGCGTTAAACGTAAGCTTAAATAATGAAAAACAGTGTTTCACTTCAACTTAAGGTCAAAACAACTTCGATATTCGTCAAACTCTATTAACTCTTTGCAGTTCGAATTTTTTTTGCTGGTTTTCCTCGATAACTCTGTATTATTACAATATCTTATTGGAAATGCATCTTAAAAAATAGATAGTATGTAGAGAGCAGTGTAAACGATTCTTACTAATAATATTGAAAATAACATAATAATATAATCCTTTTTAAAAATATCTTGACAAAGAAACACGCCTGTGTATAAAACTGATGAGTCACACTCGATATTGGAGCGCAAAGGTTAAGAATTTCTACACAAACCTACCTCACTACAAATCAAGGGATTAATTCCCAAGGAAACAAGCGCTAACAACAGGAAATAGCATTCCACTTCAACGTAAGAACAAAACAATTTCAATATTCCACAACAAACCTATCTCACTACAAATTAACACGTTCGCTACCAGCGTCACATATTGGTGACAACAGTAATCCTATATTTTACAAAATGAAAATGAAATTAATCCTATAGATATTGTTATTAAAAATTATAAACTACGACATTACATTTAGAAACTCAACGACTCGTTTCAGTTTCATTTTTCTAATATTTTGTTTAGAAGATTCATTGCACTGAAGGAAATATTACAATTGAGGAGACCGTCGTCAAAGCAAGCGATGGTAGCGAATGTGTTAAGGGACGAATTCCCAAGGAAACAAGCATTAACAACATAAAAATAGCATTCGCGTTCAACTTAAGAACTAAACGAGGAACTTCGATATTCATCACACTCCATTAAAAATCTCCGCAACAAACATAACCTATTATTACAAGTCACGGGATTGATTTAGTAGCGGGTAGGTATCCGGTAATTAGCGAACAGAAATTCGCGGGAAGAAAAGAGACGAGCATCGTGTGCGCTGCGGGGAAGAGGGGGCTCGCGGGTTGCAGTGCACGCGCCCCTTTTTCCAGACGGCGGCGCGTCGCCGCCGTGTGTTGCGGTTTTTTCCGGCGGCGCGAAACGCGAGAGGAAACGCGGCCTCGCGCCACAATGCGATCCAAGCTGTTGCGCGCGCTACGTCGGCCGAATAAAAAAGGGGGCCGGCAGCATTTTTGTCAGTCTGGACACGTGTTACCCCGACGAGGAACCGGCCATCTTCGCGTTGGTCCCGGTTTGTCGCGCGTTGCTCCTCCGCCCGGACATCTGCGCCCATCGGGACACGCTCGCATGTGCTCGATTAATCCTTTTCCCGCGGCCCGAGACGACTGAGGCTCATTCATGGAGCGCACCACGACGCTCGCTCGTTGACAATCATACGCTACGACGAACCGAGCTGATAACCTTCTGTAAATCGCAATGAAACCGCTTCCTTGGTTAAATATTTGTTTCATTCGGTTTTAAACGTTGGTCTTAGAATATTTGGCAAATACAAATTACACGAGGTTTTATTAAATTCTTTTTTAATACGTTGACTGTCACGGCAGTCACCGATGGCCGGAGCTTCCAAATTGTAAGAAAATAATTATAACTTGTATGATAACTGATGTCGTATAAAAGTATCGAGCAGCGTAGATAACTAGATAATAGTGTAACGGTAGAATTGTGATTCTCAATAACTAATAATTCTTCCTCTTTATCTTTGTTACAGAAAGATTAAGTGATACATAAAACGCTGGTGTTTCGTGGCAGTCAACGTGTCAATGTAAAACATTTGTGTTCAACCCTGTGACGAAATGATAACAATATTATTTGGAACTTGAACGAAGGAATATCTTGCATTCATTAAGGAGCGGAATTGTTTTATTTCCATGTTTCATGCGTTGATACTTTATTCAATATTGAATTTTGAATTTTGAATTCTTTATTTTGCTGTGTTGAATCGAATGCAGATTGAAAGTCACCTCTCGAGTGCAAAGGGTTAATATTCTTATTCTATTCTTTGGATTTTAATGATAAGTTTGGAGTTTTCGACTTTAACGACAACTGATGAAGTATTGTGACTCGTTGAAATTTGATTCAATAGTTAAGAGTTGAATGTTATATCTTTCTTGCGCATTCCTATATTTTATAGTAAACGTAGGTACAGAATAAACATGTTATTATCTTCTTCTTCCAAGAAACTACTAGTTATTATTACCAACAAAGTACCTCCATCCACCTCAATAGCAAAACAAATCAGCAAGCACGCAGTTAAGTCGATCAGACCATCCTTCCACGAATAGTGTAGTACCAATGTTACACAACCTGCGAAAGATTGCCCGCAACAAGCGCAGAACAAGAAGATAAATACTCAGAGACGGCGAAACCGACACGACCTCATCATCGTCACCGGTTTTTTGCGTTTGCCAATTTCCCTACCATTGGCGACCTCGATACGTGATTCCGTTTGGGTCTGCTGTGTTCCATAATTCGCTGATTTTCAAGAAAATTGATATTCCGCAAAAAACCCGGGTAATTTGTTTCGCCCGCTTCAGTGACTCGGAAACGAAACCTCGAACTGGGTCCGGTAAATAAGTAAGTACACCCCTTCGCGAGGACATTCGTAAGAACATCGACGAAAAAATGTAGCGTCGTTTATCCATTAATAAAATGGAACAGCTGAGAAAATACAGTTTTGCAGCGGAATTAATATTCGGCGGTTCGGGAACGGCAGCGTTTTAATGATACGCTCTTTATAAATCGTGTATTGCGGCCACTGTCGTCGCGGGGCGAGTTAACGCGCGCAATGGCTAATGGATAATGATCGCGTAATACACGTGAATCATTGCATAATGCCGGTGAGCCGTCGGGCGTGGCCGTATTACGCGCGGCCCGCGTCGGCGAACTGGCCGAGGAGCCGAATAAAAAGAGTAAACGAAAGAGAAACGTGAATCAATGTTGCGGAAGATCACGCGTTCACTTTAAATATCGCAACTGATAATCATACCCTTATCCGCGGCAATTTACCGCGGTGCGCCGTATATATCATCGTCGCCTGTTATTTACAGGATGTCGGGGAATGCATCTGCATCGGTGCGCCGGCGCTGATGTGTTTGCACGGACCGCGAGAAGTCGTCGACTCTGGCGGGAACGACGGTCGAGTTATGGTGTCGGGAAATGTTGGGAAAAAGTCGAGACGAGCGACAGTTTCTTGGTTACTGGAGATCGTGTTTAGACATTACTTATTTGGTTGCATGAATTTTTGGTGCTTGCAACAGTTTGTGTTGCAATATTAAGACGTTGACTGCCACGGTGGTCACTGATGACCGGAGCTTCAAAGTTACAAGAAAATAATTATAACTTACAAGATAGCCGATGTCAAATAAATATGTCCAATGACGTAAATAACAAGATAATAACGTAACGTAAGAATTGTGATACCAAATAATTAATAATTCTTCATTTTTATTTTTCATAGGAAACAAATTAGTGATATATAAAACGCTCTTGTTTTTCGTGGCAGCCAACGTGTTAAAGTGGGGTTTTGCAGGTTTTATGTGGAAGTTGAGAGATTTGTTATTTTTTGGGTAGATTCGTTGGAGGATGATAATAGTTTTGCTTTTGTGAATGTTAATTTTTTGTTTTGGGACATTGTTGATAATGATGTAGCTTTTGAGAGCTTTGTTGGGGGAAGTTTGAAAGCAAGGGGTTGATTTCATTTTTTGTTAAATTATTGTGGAAATGTTGTAAAATATGAGAACGTTTATTTTTTCTCTTAGTATTTGTTTTTTTCATTCCGAAAATAGTGGACTGATGTTTCTAATGTTTGTACATCGTCTAATGTGTTCGAAATAATGCATTTGAAATAATGCATTACATATTGTATATGTTTATATATTGATTTTTAATTGTAGAAGTATATTTTTCATTTATCCTTTACAATTGAATTGTTGAACTTGGAGAAGAACTAATGAATAGAGATCGAAGTACGTTAATTTGAACCAGTTAATTTGATTTGAGGGTAGTGTGACTTCGCCCAAAAATGAAGTCTTTTGAAGAAAAGGAAGAGGGATACAAGCCTGTCCATTCAAACAGAAGAAGCAGTATTCATTGTGTTTTAAAAGGATGCAAAAGGAGGAAATTGTTTTTGAAAAGAAGAGAAGAGAAGAGAAAGGTTTTCTTCGGGGAAAGAGAACACTAAGAAAGAGTAAATTTATTTTAAAAAGGAAGATACACCACAAGAGCAGGGGGATGCTTTCTGGAAACACAAAGATGAAGTACAAGAATATCTTCATTGTCAAACAGGAAGTAGAAACGAGCACAATTTTCATGCAAAAGAGATCAGGTTAGGGGAACATTGTTTGCTGTTCTTAGTTGAAGCGTGGAAACTTACTATTATACAAAATGAAAGGCAACGGTGTCATAATAGCCACAAAAAGAGAGAATTTTCTGAGTTTCATATGTATTATACAATAATTACATAATACATTAAAAATAATATTTACCAAAATTAATATTTATTAATTAGTAATTTATTAATTAGTAAGTTTTCATTAATAAATGCTTTGGTTGTTCAATAATTTTTACATTAGGCCTTCAATGCTCTAAAACAAAATATATTGATATTGATATTATGGGAGATTAATGTATTCTTACTTAATATTAATATTTTATATTATATTGCGTGGGTAAATTTCAAACAAACCGGCAGAAGCATTTATCGGAAAAGGAATGGGAAGTTTGTATAAGAATGTTATCGATCGCTGTTAGTTAGCTATAAAGGATTGCGTATTCTTTGTGGCAGTGAGACTCCGCGTTCCTCGCAGACTGTTGACCCGCGAAGAAAGAAATATGAAGCCCGAGGTAGGAAAGAAAAGATGAAAAAATGAGCCACGGGTTGATTAAACCACGGGGAAAAAGGGTAGAACGCGTCCACTGAAGAAACCGAATAGCTGCTACTGATCATCATTAAGTTTTTAAACATCCACACAATGGCGGCCATCTTGTACACGCCGGCTGCTTCGTATTTGCAATTTATTACCCCCCTCAAATCCATTGCAC